TTTGCAGATGGATCGGTGTCGAGGGCCGCAGGTGGCCTAGGCATCGTACTTATGTCACCGAAAGGTGACAGCCTGGAGTTTGCAATCAAGGTGGCCTACCAGATATCGAATAATGAAGCGGAATACGAGGCGGTCATTAAGGGACTCAAACTGGCCTTAAGTGGCGGAGCTCGAGAAGTACAGGTACATTCGGATTCACAATTGGTGGTGGGTCGATTCTAGGAAGGGTTTGAGGTCCTGGAGGAAAGGATGATGAAGTATGTGGAGGACATAAAGAAACTGCAGGGAGAGTTTGATTCTTTCGAATTAGTCCAGATACCTCGAAGAGAAAATGGTCGAGCGGATCTGTTAGCTAAAGTGGCACAAAGTCTGGTGGACTGCAAGAGCAGAAGTGTGACCTTGCTACACATGGAGAAGAGTGTGGTCGAGAAGGAGGTGGTCGAGATAGAAGAAGTCGAGGATTGGAGGGCACTGATAATAAAAGGATTGAAGGAAGGAGCCGTTAAAGTGATAAGGAGATTTTTTGAGCATGGAGGGATTCTCTACAAGAGGTCGCACGCGGGCCCCCACTTGCAATGTGTAACCGGAGAAGAAGGGCGATATATGTTGAAAGAGATTCACAAGGGCTGTTGCAGCGACCACATCAAGGCAGGTTCCCTGGTAGCAAAGGCTCTAAGAGCAGGATATTTCTGGCCAACGATGAGAGAAGATGCAAAAGAGATGGTGCGGAAATGTTTGCAATGCCAGAAACACTGCCCACTTATTCACCAACCAGCCGAAGCTATGACAGCGATGAGTTCTCCCATCTTGTTCGCCCAATGGGGTATCGACCTGGTTGGGCCCATGCCCCAAGGAACTGAACAGAGAAAGTTCTTGATTGTCGCGGTCGATTACTTCACAAAGTGGGTGGAGGCTGAACCCCTGGCAAAGATCACGGAGGAGAAAGTGATACATTTTCTATACGATAACATATGTTGCAGGTTCGGAGTTCCTAAAGTGCTGATGTCGGACAACGGGACCAGTTTCAATGGCAAGCGGATCCGGGCATGGTGCGAGGACATGAAAATTGATCAACACTTCGCTTCAGTCGCACACCCACAGGCCAACGGGCAGGTCGAAGTGACCAACTAAATTATATTGAACGGTCTGAAAACAAGGTTGGAGAAGGCATCGGGAGCGTGGGTGGATGAACTTACTTCGGTGCTATGGGCGTACAGAACAACATCCCG